CTATTTTCGTTCTTACTATCCAAGTTGGGCATTTGTGATCTCCATGCTCCAACTTGAGGGGGAGTGTTAGCGTATATTTAGTTATTTATTTATTTCCTTGTATGTATTTATTTCCTTGTAAGTAATCCTTACCATAGTTGTATTAGGAAACTTGCTTGTATATATACTTTGTGAATACTCAATGGAAACCAATTCAGTCTTTCACAAAATTCTACAAAAGTAAATTTAAAACAAACACAATAGAATGAAAGAATGAATAAATTACAACACACACAAAGTAAACACTAAAAAAGGTAGCCTTCTCAATAGACCTAGCTTCTCAATAGAATACAAGTCACCAAGCAATCCAATTACCCTACAACTTTAAGTTTCCATTTCTCAACATTTGAGTTTCAAACTCAGAAAAAAGAATAAATTAAATGCACCTCTAGTTTGTTTTGAATTCGATAAATTAGATTAAGTTGCATATATCCAAGTGGGTTATGATGCCTTTTGTGGTGAGTTGATGGATTAAACTCAAAAGTCATACAGAACTACAAAAACATCTTTCATAATCACGACTGTACTAATTTTCAATGTAGGAAAGTAAGAGGATACCCAGGCATGCAAATTTCTCTTGATTTCGGTTCTCATAGAAGATGACAAAAGAAAAGTAGCAACCCAATTTCAATATATAACTAACCCATGTGCCACAATAATAGAGTTATAACAAACCAAGCCATGATAGTGGAAGTAATTTTTTTTCTTTCCTTTTTTTACTGTCACTTTAAAAACAATTCACACTTACTGTATATGTATACAGTTCGCATTCTCCAAATGGTTGCATAGTATTCACCAAGCAATAATAGGTAATTAATTAATTAAGCAATTGATCATTATATTTTCTTTCTTTGCATATTTACATTGCTTATTTTGTAAAATAATATTAATATATCATTTCTAATTTTATAAATTTTTAATGTTATTTTGAATATTCGTCTAGTTTAATTTTTTTAATTAAATCGAACGATCTTTACTTATCAATTACTTTAAATTTACAAAAGATATTACTACAATAAAATAAAATAAGTGTTCAAAAAAATGAAGTACCGAGTGTGAAATCAATGACAATTTCTCGCATTAAAAAAACAAATTATTTTGTGGTCCTTCACCCATAGAATGATTTTATGCAATAGGCTTGTAAAAATAAGAAAATTTAACTATGAACACATAAAAAAATGTGAGAAAATCGAAAAATACCGGGCCCGCCACATTTAATTAGTTTCTTTTTTTTCTTTTCTTTTCTTTAAAAGATTAATGAATTTCATTGTTTGTTAGTGATTATTGTGGCACATGGGTTAGTTATATATTGGAAAACTTACGATGGAATTATAATGGAAAACTTACATTTACAAGCATAGAGATGAAAGGATTTGATGATGGCTCTTGGGAAGAATATACTCTGCAAAGAATTGGAAAAGCAGCCAACCTCTGAGCTGGTTTAAGAAACTTTCCCTGCAAAACAAAACTTGAGAATTTAGTAGGCAAAAAAATGGAAAAAATATGAATGGTTCTCAATTTTTCCTCTATCGCTAATTTAAGAAGCTGATCTAAAGGTTCCTTCAGAGGAATTCAGAGTACATAGAATTTCACAGAGATAACACCACTTCAATTTCAATCTTGTTCCAAATTTTGAAAAAAATAGAAAGAGAAACAAAAAACGAATCAAGACAATTTGCAGGGCAGCGAAAAACCCTAGCTCTAAACCGGAAATCCATCCAAAACGTGCATATAACAGATGATTAAACATGTGCAGATGGATTGTCAGGTATTATTAGGGTATGGACCTCGAGAATCAAGGCGAGAGAGACGCAGGCATTGAAGTGGCGAGAAGAATGGAGCTTTGATTTGAAATCGTCAACTATGGATTCCAACGGCTGGTGTGGATCGTCTCCGGCTTTGAGCAGGGTCAAAAGTGTGTCGGATTCTTCATTCCCGAGCATGTTTGCTCTCAGGGAACTTCGCGTTTGACGGATATCGCTAAAGGACTCGATGCTTGTCAATTGGTCGCTGAATGAACAGTAACCAAGATCCAGCTATAAAACAGCAAAAGTGATTTCGGATTGGGATTCCCCTGCTTGAGATGCACCCAAATATCCACAAACTAGTATTTAGCACGGGGTCGAACACATATTATTTTTAACTCTGCTAATTTTTTGTTTTAAGTAAATAAAAAAAAAATAAATGCAAATATAATATAGAATGTTAGATATCACATAAACAGAGTATGCTAACTTAAATTCATGTATATAAAAAATTGAAAAGAACATATAGACGTACCGATTAAATCCAAATTTTTTGAAAAACTTCAGGCTAAACCACATTTTTTGTGCAATTGCATGGTTTACCGTTGTCATCTAAAACCAACACCTTCAATCATTTCTTAGTTTTCACTCGTGAAACTGCAACATAAAGTTGATCGTGAGTGAATACCGATTTGGTCAAGAATAATTCAACAAATGATAATGTTTGGTCTTGACTCTTATCGATTGTCATGCCAAAACATAAAGATATTGGAAACTGTGTTCTTTGAAAGTTAAACGGTAGTCCAGGATCTGACGGTACCAAATTCATTCTTTGTAATAAGGTATTTTCCAAAAGTAATTTTATCATGAAAACATGACTAATGCATTCCTTTGTATTTGAGATATGTTTCCTAATTACTCTTTTATATTTGATCTCGTGTTTTCCAGATTTTTTTATGAATGAGATCTATTTTCCACTATAAGTACAAAAAAAATTGAGTACTTATTAATAATTTCGATAAAAACGATAGCGGAAATAAACCCTATTTAAGTATCATTTTTTATTTTAGACTTTTATTAATTATAAGTCGAAGAGAAATAATTTCATTTGGTAAATAGTTTAATTTAAGACATTTTTCATGGATGAAATTAGTACAATAGTTTCATTTTATTGCATGCTATGCAATACTCTAATTTTCAATCATGGGAAAATTATATATTTAGTTATGATATAAAGTAGGGGTTGCATGAATAATAATTTAAATTACATCAAATTATGACAGCATTTTATTATATATACGTCTTTCTAATTTTTTTCAAAACATTACATATATTGGGAAAAGATGTATTCTACTTATTAAAAGAGGTCATTGTGGATTCACATTACTAAATAAAATTTATATTATTAATTCATCATCTTAACTTCGTATAATTTATTTTTTCTGTTAAAACTTCATAAATATAAATAAATAATAAGCAATTTTCCTTTATTAAGTGTTCAATTATAAGTTATTTCATTAATAGACATTAATTTATGAAGAATATTCCTCAAATAGTCCTCTAAACTCTTGGCTTAAATGAATTTCGAGATTTTTCGCAAAATTTATTTTTGTAATAAGTTTTTTTCCAAAAGTATTCTTATCTTGAAAACATGACTAATTTGTTCATTTACATTTGAGATATTTTCCCTAAAAATTACTTTGCATTTGAAATGTGTTCCCCTGATTTTTTAATAAGAAGATCTATTTTCCACTATAGATACTCAAAAAATATTTTTATTATTTATTACTACCTTAGATAAAAAAGAACATGAATATACCCTATATCTAAGCATCATTTTTTCATTTTACACATTTATTCAATTATACGTCTACAGTTAAACATTATTGATGTTAAATAGTTTAAATTGAGACATTTTTTCATGGATGAAATTAGTACAGTAGTTTCATTCTATTACCAATTGTGTAATACTTTAATTTTCAATAATGGAATCAATATATTTAGTTATAAGAAAAAAAATTCACATGAAGAAAATTTTTTATTACATCAAATTATACAACATGAGAAATTTACCTAAATAGGACTAAAACATAATGACTTTCCCAATATAGGACCATATGTTTTTATTTCCCAATGTAGGATCTTTGGTCATTATCAAGTAGTCATTATTCAACTTAATGTCCATCATTACTGGACATTATTCTTTCCACTAGGTCATTATTAAGTCTTATTTAGGGAATAAAAAAGTTTAAGTCCTACGTTAGGAAAGTCATTATGTTTTAGTCCTATTTAGTGCAAATTTCACTTACAACATTTCACTATATATAATTCTTTATATTTTTTAAAAAAACAATACATAGAATGGGGAAAAAATATACCTCCCTTTTTTTTCAAACACGGAGGTTGAAATACGGAGTATATTGTTTACCTTAAAAATCTTATACAACTCACGTGGCTAATCTTTTATATGTGAAAAAATGTTTAATATTATCAATTGTTAAAAAGGGTTCGTGGCCATAGAATTTAGGGATCTAAGTAATATGAGTTTAATTTAACCTTGCTAATTTATATTTTTAATCGGGATTCATATTAGTTAGATTGTCCATCGCTTTTAGAAATGAGAATAAAGAAATTTGAAGTTAAAAAAATAGCCAAAATAATATTTAGTATCCCCTTTAGCAATTGATTAGTACATTACAATAAATACGTGATTAAATAAGATTATATTCAAAAATAATAATCAGGGGCATATTTATAAATGATTTTAGCTATTTATTATCCAATTTTGGATCAAGTTTAATAGGGGTTGTTTTAAGTGTAAACGAATTTATAACATGTTAAAGAGATCTACATTCTCTTCACTTAGTTTAATAATATTTTGTGTCTATTTTAAAGATTTTTTATGGATCATAATTTTACATTGTAATTAATATTGATTAAACTAATATCCTTTTTTATAAATCCACAATTGAAAAAAAATGAGAAGTATGAAATCTTTTACTTACATAGTCATTGAAGTCACGAAGTAGAGCGAAATATAAAGGAATAAGAATAATATGTTTTGAATTAAAAAATAAACCTGTATGATGCAGTATATGGATATAAGTGGCCGGAATGGAAGCCTCAAAGTCTTTAAACGCGTTTAAATTATAAATTAAATCATAAAAAACCAAAGACTTATAAATCATAGCTTGTCTAGCGGTCAATCTTAAATAAAAACTTATCAAATCAAGATAGGATCCGTTGAAACTCTAAAATAAAATATCTAGTCTTTAGTCTTTCTCTATTTTGATGTTCTTCATCTTCTAGCTCGACTCATCCCCACCTACATGATAATGTTCCACGTCTTTCATTCTTTTGTTGATAGTAGTCTCGGTGATAACATCCACATCTTGTTCCTAGCGATTATCCTTAGATTCTCCAAAAGCTTCAATCAAATTCTACATGACAAAGTTTAAATACGTTTATGAAGTTTAATCAAGAATAAGTGTTGCTGTGAAACAATATGTTGATTCATTCCTGTCTGTTTTGTTCCAGGCTCATTTTGTTCATGTACAATTGTACCTCAAGTCTCCAACAATAAGCAGGTTTCTTTTTAACAATTCCGTTAGGTACCTGATTCTAGGCTTTTCTTTTAATTCTTACTATTCAATGAATTACATATTAAAACTCACTTGTATCTAAAACAAACAAACACTATTACGTCATTAGTGTTGTTTAAACCTGAATATGGGTACGGGTATGGTCTCAATATGGGTATGGTTTCAACAGGCTTTTTTTTCAAGAGGTCTTCACCACCATAAGTCTTGCATTGACATCTATTGTCTCTGTGTCTACCCATTTGTTACGATGGATAGTCTGTATCCCATAAAACATATTAAACCGAAACAACCAAACCGCCAATCAGTCAGTGTAGTTGATAACCCAAATCCTAATGCAATATAACCTACAAATAAACCTAGATGTGCAGGCATACTCTGGAATCAGATTCATAGCTGCCATTCTTTCAACTAATAGGATGTTTTCTTTCTGAGTATTGGTATGGTCTCAACATGGGTATGGCATAACAGGCTGTCTTGTTCCTGAAGTCTTCACTGCCTTTGATTCTGGAATTAAAGGGTATGGTCTCAATGTCTAGCAAAGCGGGGTTCATGGACAGCCAGTCTAGCATAAAACATATCAAATCCAACACATTTAATCATCTGTCAGTCATTGTAATAGATAGAGCAAAGTTGAATACACAAAATTTCATGCCAAATTGCCAGTCAGTCATTGTAGTTGATAACCCAAATCCTAATGCAATATAACCCACAAATAAACCTAGATGCGTAGGCATACTCTGGAATCAGATTCATAGCTGCCATTCTTTCACACTAATAGGTTGTTTTCCTCATGAACAGACCGTCTCAACATGGGTATGGCATCAATAGGCTGTTTTGTTCCTGAAGTTTTGAACGCCATAATCATGGCATTAATGGGTATGGTCTCAATGTCTAGCAAATCCAGGTTCATGGACAGTCATTAAGCACAAAGCATATTACATCCAACATATTACATCCTCTGCCAGTCATTATAATTGATAAACCAAAATTGCATTCAGAGAACTTCATGGCAAAGTCTGGCACGGATGGGTATGGTCTAAATATCTAGCAAATCCCTGTTCACGGACAGTCAGTATAGCATAAAGCTAATTAAATCAAGTCTTTTGTAATTACTAAAAACCCAGTCATTCTAATCGATAGACTAAAAAGCCTGGTAAATGGACAGTCAGTACATCATAAGCAACATAACCAAGCATCTGTCAGTCTTTCTATTTGATAGGCTAAAAACCTAGATTTGTAATGTATGTTCAACGTTCCAGAAATTACTAAATATTTGAATTATTGTCTTAAAAGAGCTCATTGTTTATTAACGGTGGCATTGTTCATTAACTTTGCATTTTTCTGTTTAAAACTATTAATACTAATATTTCTCTCCAAAGAGGATATATCCAAAGTTCTCACAAAGTTAAATTATGAAATATTAGATATAATATACAAAGGTATAAGGCACAGGTGACTATGTTTTAATCAACAATAAATAAATCCGAATTTACGATTAAAACGTATCTTATCAAACCTGGATCAAACTCCGCTGGATTTTCAATACTTCCATCCTACCGTTGTTGTAAAAGAGAATATGTAAGACTTTGAATGATTAAATATTTCTCTTATCAAAAGATGCATTTAGAATATTTCATTCAAAAGTACATATTGCATCTGTCTTTTCAAGCAATTTGGAGCATGAGGTATTTAAAAATGAGGAGGCTTCTTGGTCAAATAAAACAAATGTAGTTTTTTCCGGAATCATCCCTAACTGCTAGCTTGATCAAATATCTACCAAAAACATATTAAGCATTTTAAGTAATTTTAAATAATCATGTTCAGAAAGATGAATATAGGAAAAGGGAAAAAAAACCTTGGGTGACATTCAAAACACGACATGCACAGTGCATGCAATAGTACATGGTACCATCCACTCACACAGCTCTATTACACTTGCAAGCTAAATAAAACCAATCCCCACCACTGTTAACCGCCTCAACAGTGGCATACACTACATAGGAACCATCCCGTGTGGATAAAATTTATGCATTAGTTTGCTTTCAAAATTCAATTTATATAAACTGTATTCACTACCTCAGTTGTATTCTTCAGTGTCGTTATCACCATTGTCCTATTAGCATCTAGGAATTCACTATGTTGCACATTTGAAATGTCATCACACGACAACATAATGGGCTAACGTTGAGATGTTACGCTAAGAGACCTTCACGTAAATGTTTTAGTTATAATAAGACGATGACTTAGTAAATGACGTATAGAGATAGTCTTCGTACTGTATATAGGTCGTTATAGATTAGATTATACAAACCTCTGTGTAAATGCAATCACTTGTTCTATCTCTGGATTTAATAGGAGACGCGTTCCGTACATGACATTCTGTAATATTTTATTTCCTAAAAATCCATGACATGGTTAGTTTTTCTTGAATAAGAGCAAAGATGACTGTGATATGAAAAACAGATAAAGTTCAACTCTTTGGTATTTAAATGTTCATAGTACCCTGAAACAGTTTCACTTCCACATACTGTATGACAATTATGGGATGTTCCAATGGCTGTTGTTCAAAGAAGCTTTTAAACTTCTCAACGTATTCCCCAAATAGTGTGATATCCAATGTCATCCTAAATACAAAATTCAAAAAACAGGAAACAACAAACATTATTCATGGTGTAATTATGCTTTTTTATTTAAATTGTTGAAAAAGAAGAATACCCTTCTACTTCTAACTTGATCACAATCATATTTGTCCTTTTGGACTCCTTTACTATCTCCGTTTGCTTGCCCACAGCTGTAAGGATGCCCATAGTGTCTGTGGAAGAAGAAAATATTATTTTTCACAAAAACTATATCACGATTTGCTTTAATTTTGGATAAGAGACTGAAAGATTACCAACTAAGTAAGGGTAGCTCATGTCTGCTTGCAAAATATCAGCAAAAGTACTCAACCTAAGTCCATGCACTGGAATTTTGTTGGAAATACATTCGGTAACAATACTTGGTGGTTGGAAATTAAGTCTGTACTCATGTTTCGAGGTGCGAACCACTGCTGATGCCTATGCCGAAATAGGCGAAGATGTACACCGAACCCTCCTTGATTCGTCTCTCAAAAGTTCCAACCAAACTTTTCCGGACTGTTGCATGGATAGTACTCCCCTTCAGAAATGTGGAAGGAAAATATCATTAATTTAAAAAAACAATAGTTTCAGAGATTAAAAGGGAAAGAACTAAAAATAGTTGAAGAAAGGAACAATGGGGGAGCAAACGGCTAAATGCATAGCACGGGTCAAGACATTGGCAAATCTCAGGGTGTTTTTAAAACAACGGCAAAGCATCAAAACACCGACAAACCCCAGTCATTACCCATCCCTTTTACAGTCATAAGAAATTTGTTTGACAATTCATAGATTTTAATGAGAGGTGGAAAATCTGTCATTCATAGCGCAAACAGATCAAACAGATCAAACACTTTTACCACTAAATCCTTCAAAAAACATCAAACAGTATGCATGTCAAGAACATGAATGTCTAGAAAATCCAGGTTCATGGGAGTGAGTATAGCATAAAGCATATTAAATCCAACAAACTAAAGCATCTGTCAGTCATTCTAATTGATAGACTAAAAACCCAGATGTGTACTCTATGTTCAACAGTCCAGAAATTAAAAAAACTTTGAATCACTGTCTTAAATGCAAAGCATTAAAACACTGGCAAACACTCTATGTTCAACAGTCCAGATTTCAATTCTGTTTCACAGGTCCTTAAGATATTTTTTCAAAAACTAATCAAACATTGGTTACTTATCTCTATTCTCAAAGACTTTATATCAATCAGTTCAAACACATTAAATACTCAATATTATTAATAACACCAGACACTATATGTTTTTTGAAACACGATTACAAATAACTAAAAAAAAGTTGTCAAAGGCTTTAGATCAAACACATCATACAGTTTTTTACAACTGTTTCAAGTAATTGATGTAATCAAAGCATATGGAACAATCACATCAAACACTATTTATTTAAAGAACATCAATACAAAGAGCTAAAAATGTTTAAAAAAACAGTTCATCCTTTGTCAGGAAATGGCCTAATTAAAAAAACATTACGCAAAGGCGCAAAACCTTACAGTGCAGCCTATATGGAGAAGAAAAAAACATTCATAATATGTCCATGGACAGTGTATCCCAAAGCCCTCTTTGTAACAATTTACTCCATCAACTTTCATCAACATGTACTAAATTACCAATTGATATATTCATTCACAAAAGTTAGTAACATTTTTTTTCTAGGTAAATTAATATCCTTTTTGACAACATTTTCTGTGATAAAAAATAGGCGGCATATATACCTAAAGTGATTACTAACAAACCAAGTTGAATGTGGCTACTTCAACTAAACAAACAAATTAAAGAATATTTAAAAGATAAGAACTTTGGGTGAATTAGAGGCAGTACACATGAATAAAATGTAAAAGACTTAAATTGTTTAGACATACTGGTTTGTTTGCCTCTTTTTACAACATTATTTTATAAAAGAATTCTATCATTTTAGATCATACGTTTAATTTTGAGACACTACCATTTTCAAATCTGACATGGTTGGGAAAGAAAATAGAAGCAAATTTGAAAGGATATAAATTATTTTAGGGAAAAAGTGAATACATTAAGCTGGCAGGCTATGGCTAAGCATCATCCTGTTTTACATATTTTGTATGCAAATGTGATATTTCTTGTTTAGAAAATCACTTCCAATTGAGGAAAGAAGTATTCGCAATAATGTTTCTTAGTGTAGCCATGTAATGTAAACTTATGAAAATTTAGCTACCTATTTTGATGCATTTGAACACTTCTTCTGGAGTCAATACAGGTTGCAATTCAAACAGGCTCATGAATGTCTTTAACCATTTATTCATCTTCATAAAAGGCTTTAAAAATTGTCAGATGCTAAGATGTTTTTTTTCATTCATTTGCCTGCAAATTACAAAACATGATAACTCATCTTTTTCATAAAGACATAAAACATACAGCATATCATACTTGTCTTCTAGAACTACCAAATTGAAAAGCCCCTTGGCTTGCACTTATACAAATCCCTCCACCATATACTTTTCATCCCCCTCCCACTATGCTTTGGGTTGTTCTTGAGGAGAATGAATATATACGTATATTGCTCTTACAAAAAGAAATTGGCAAAACAAAGAATGCAATTAGGCAGAATACAGTTCTAAATTAGGTATGTAATCTCGCACTTAATCAAGGGGTGATTCATAATCGACGAATTTGCCAAAAAAATTGGGGAAATCGAGAGCCTAAAATCTGAAGTACGTATGGAATTCTAGAGCCTAGAATCTGAATACACGAAGTTATGAATTGAATAACAATTGCATATGAATTTTGGAAACATACCTTATTCTCGAATTGACGCAAAGATTTGCCGGATTTTGATGCTGTAGATTTCTAGAACTCAGGCGAAGAATCCGTAAAGAATCAGCGGATCTTGACTTTCCTTCATTGTCGGTGCAGATTTCCTTTTCTTAGGCAAAGATTTGACGCGTAGAATCAACGGGTTTTTGGGAAGAAGCTTTGGTCGATGAAGAAGAAATCAGCGGATCGTGCATAGATCCAATGAAGTGGACACTGGGATTTCTTTCCTTCCGTGATCCAAAGCAGCGAGGAATAAGGGTGAATCATATTAGTTTCCTTTCAGCGTGAAGGTGCAGCAAATTTCTTCCCTTCCGCGAAGAAGGAGGTCGAGGGAAAGTGTTAAATATATTAAATATATTTAATATTATTGTATTATGATTTGTTTCCATACTTGTATAGCTTTCTTAGAATATCTCTCCTACCATAACTAGGATTGAGATGTTGTATATATATACATGTACTCCTCACATAATTAATCCAAGAAAAATACAATTCTTCATGGTATCAGAGCCACACCAAAAACCCTAAAAATTCTCTCCCCCTAGTTTCGGCCTCCCCCTAGACGGCTCGTCGTCGCGGCGGCGTGGAGGAGGGAGGAGAGAGCCGGCCGAGGAGGAGGAGGTGGTACTGCCTGTCACTCTAGTGTAGAGTTAGGAGATCGGGTTTTGGAGGGGTAGAACGAAAGAGGCAGAGTTTACAGTTTGAACATGTTCCAATTCAACTCAGTTTTTCTCAACCAAACTATAAAAAGTGGAGCCGATTGTTTCTCCTTCTTGCACGGCGGTTCAATCTCCATGGCTATCTCAATGGCTCTATTGCTCCCATCTCCGACGACGACGACAAATGGTTCCAACTTGATGCTATTCTTCAGGGATGGATTCTCTCCACCATCACAGATGAGGTGTCTGATCTTGTTCTCTCTTCTGTCTCTACTGCATCTGCCCTCTGGAAGATGATTCATGATTTGTTTCACGACAATAAGCACGCTCGAGCCGTGCAACTCGAGCATCAATTTCGCACCACCGTCAAAGGATCTACCCCTATGGCTGCATATTGTCAAGAGCTCAGGAATATTGCAGATTGGTTAGATGACGTTGATGCTCCTGTGTCTGAGCACCAACTAGTACTCCAGATGCTGCGCGGTCTGCCCGACGATTTACAAGCCCAAACGTCGTTTCTCCAATTTCAGGATCCTTTGTCGAATTTTCTTCAAGTGCGGTCGGCTCTTCTCCTTCTCGACCGACAGAGGACTCCACTGGGCGAAACCAGCAGCACGGCCCTGCTGGCAGGTCGGGGCGCCGGCAGCTTCAGCGGCAACCAGCTCGGCGGCGGTGGCAGTCGCGGCCCTCCTCACGGCGGCAGTGGAGACCGGATCTTTGGCGTCAATTATGGCGATGGCTCCTCCTCTGGACAGCGTGGAGGCTATAGACGTGGACAAGGGCGTGGCAACAGCAATCGGGGTCGCGGTCGAGGGCGCTCAAACGGCGGTTCGAGACAACGACCACCTACAGACGCCCAACATTCCTGGAACTCACCCTACCCAAACCCTAGCCCCGGGGTGCTAGGCCCCCGGCCCAACCCCACCCCCTACCCGTTACCCTATCAAGCCCATGCCTACTATACACCTACCCAACCCCCAGCCCTGCCCCCCTACCCGTCACCTCACCCCAGCCTTACGGCAGTTTCACCCCAACCCCACCCCGCA